AAAATGCTGTCACGTAAATTCCCGTAAAACTCATTGCTCGCAACTTACTGCCAGTTGGGTATGGCGAAAAAGCCGTCAAGCATAACTGAAGCGCGGAATATAAAAATGTCGAAAACAATTGAAACTTTGCGAGGCGTGTTCTCACAGATGAATAAACTTTAACAATGCTTTCTGTCCTGGAATCCCACTCAATTTCAACACACCCAACTAAATTTGCTGCTTTTAGGTGGCGTTTTAAGTGTTTCAGAAATACTATGGTTATCATGCTTCTAAAATTAAGCTAATCTTCGTACATAAATCAGGAAATTTTAATGTTGTTTCCAATATTTTTGGAATATGAATGCGAACTGAATTAATTTACGGTTACGAGTTACGGTTAATTGAGTAGTTACAGCAGGTTGATTTTACGTTAATTGCGATACAATCGATACAAAATTGAACACTTCCGATAACTTCTGGCAATTGGTAACGATTTATCCGAGAAAATTACTACCCGTTGCGTAAATTTGGTTACTAATTGGGACAAAGCCGTCAATATTGGGCATAAGCAACTATTAATTGTAACTTGTTAATAATTTGTCCTGTTGTGAATTCCGATTGCGTAAGTAACTGTAAATATTTAGAGATCGCGTGTTTATAAGTAAATATTACAATCAAAAGTTGGCGTTATTGATTTCATATTTTGTTTATTCATACACAAATTAGAAACTATTACCCGTATCTATATACTATGTACTGATGTTTATTTGAAGCAAATATCTTCTCATATTATCTTAATTACGAAGAACTAAATATTTCCCGAAACAATGTAATGGTTAGGTACAAAACCTCTGTACCAAAATCGAAAAGGTTGGAGTTACGTAATTGAAGGTTTTTTAATCAAATAAATCACAATATGATTTCACCTTTATGTAAGAAACCATTGTCGATATTTTTCCCAGGACTTTGTTAATATAATTTATAAAGTTAGCACGAGATTACTGATTTTAAACAATTGAATAGGTACATATCTTGTCCCAAGCAGTATTTCGTTTCTTGCGGGTTTGCCACATTTTCTTGCATATAAAAAAACGGAAAAGTGAAAGAAATCCAGCGCCATCTATAGTTCATTTAACAACACGGCAGAATTTTTGGTGTGTAATCCTTATGGCGCGCATACTGCCGTTTTAATTTTTGCAAACTTAAAAATAACTGCAGTTAACACTGTCTTGCTGTTATTTTTGGCAGTTATATACTTGCATCGGAACCACTTTTTTCAAGAAACCATCTTAAATTATAAGCTAATCAAAAAATTCCACAAATATTATTAACTGCGTTATACGGTTTCGGATTGTTCTTACCGTTCGCGGCATATTTTAAATTTCCGAAACCAACAATATTTTCAAGCCATTACTCTTTATTTTATGTATTTGTTATACTAACTTGGTTAAAGATACGTAAATATTTACTAATTCAGCCCCTGACGCAGCTGAAGTAGTTGATTTACATTTATGTATTACCGTCAGTTATTACATTATGATTATACATACGTATTACAATTTAACATTAAACCAATTATATTAGGTTTAATAAGTAATTAAGCCATTACACAGATATTTTTAATTTATGGTAACAAATTTAATACCAAAATGCTAAAATGTATGTACTTTGTAAGGGTGAACTGGCGAACCAGTCCAGCGGCGGAAGAGCATTTAAATGCTACAATGCATTGTAGCATTTAAATGGTACTAACATGGTACTAACCATTGCAATGGTTAGTACCATGTTACTTCATATATGTGTATTAAGGATATTAATAATTTTAATCCTAAGTAATTAGCTTTAATTCGTTACCTTTTACTCATAGGAAATCTTTTTGAGTTACTTACATATAGTGTTAGTTATAAATTTATTTAACGGTGTCATAATTTAGTAATTGTTTACTTTATCATATATATTCTGTATCTTCTGTAAAATTTGTGTAGATACATTTTATCATTAAAAGTTTATCACACTTATGGTGTGGGTACATATATAAATATGGCCATTAACCTTAACTCTCAATGCTACATAAAGAACGTCCGGGAATGAATGGGAATGCGCGCTCTAGCGAGTATATTGACAAATCAATAAACCCGCGAACTATAATAATTTAAATTTCTGAAAGCCCACTTCATTAGGGTCAATTTGGTATATCACTCTTAAATTTCAAAAATGGATAAGGGTAGAAGAAGCTTGTTTGAAAGGGAGCTGTTAGCAAAACGAGTGATGGAGTTCTACAACACGACAGCCAACCGAGACTCCAAGGTGACCTGGAACTTTTTTAAGCAGGAAGGAATTCCAAGTTCAAATGTGTATTCCTACATAAAAAAGTTCAAGGATTCCGAAAATGTGCAATTCAAGAAGCCAGCTGGTCGTCCGGCGAAGCTAGCGACCACTCGAGTGAAAAATAGAATTGAAAAAATTTTCAAAACCAAGCCATCAACGTCAGTAGCTGTAGCTGCCAGGAAAGTCAAAATTTCCAAAAGCTACCTGGGGGAAATTAAGGTCCATAAATTAGGAATCAAAGCAAGGACCAAAAAACCTGCACCAAATTACAAGCCCGTACAAGAAAGTCGGATCAAGGATTGCTGTCAAAAATTGTTGAAGAAAATGCGTGGAAAAGTAGTGATCCTGGATGACGAAACGTATGTTCCGGTTGACCCTTCAAATCTTCCAGGGCGTCATTTTTTTCATAGCTCGGATCCCTCTGAAGTGGCTTATGAAGAAAAAGTAAGAAAAAAAGACAAATTTCCAAAGAAATATTGCATTTGGCAATGCATCTCCAGTCACGGACATGTATCAGACCCGGTAGTTCTCGAAGGGAATATCAATCAAGATATTTATCTGAAAAATTGCGTCAAGGCTGGATTGGAAGCATTTATTAATAGGTTTCACAAAAATGATAAAGTTTTGTTTTGGCCTGACCTCGCCACTTGTCACTATGCAAAGAAAGTGACCGAGTACCTCAGAAAGAAAAATATTGATTTCGTTCCAAAAGATATCAACCCACCTAATGTACCCCAACTGTGCCCAATCGAAAAATTCTGGGCACGTTCTAAGTCAGTATACTCCCGGCTTCAAGATGTGCCTGACACCTTTCGAAAATTCAAAGGACGATGGAAGAAAATCACCTCGGAAGTGGCAAAAACTTCGGGAAAAAATTTAATGAAAAATCTTCGCAAGAAAATCGAACTAGTCGCCAACGGGGGTGTGGCGGCCTTAGCTATTAATTAAATTATGTAGGTACGTATTTGGTATTATACATATGCAAAAAGTTTAAAATTCCGATAACTCATTGTGATTTTATGACCACATTTTCAGACCATTCCCATTCATTCCCGGACGTTCTTTAAATTATGTATGTCCAAACACCGAGAAAATTTAGTTTCGGTGCCTCACTCTAAGGCTACTACTGCCACGTATAAAATATTTTTAACTTCAACGCCGATTAGCTTTTTTTAAAAAAATAATATATAGATTTTGACATTAAATTTTTTTTACTAATAAATTTATGGGAATTGCAACCCTTTATTCACAAAATTATAAATTGTATCACATTTGATTTATCACACAATAGCACGGTTTCATATTATTTAAAGCGCGATACCTGTGATGCTTTACCGCTCACCTGTAACAATTTTCAATCAAACTGAAACCATACTGTACGAAATTGTAAAATATGTATTACCTTCCATTGAGCAAGATAAATTCCGCTGTTCGAATTATATATTGCGATTTATTTTGAATCTTACTAGGTAGAAATCTTGAAGAAATTACAATACTTATACGTGATTGACTGTATAGTTAATTTCCCATGTGTATGGTGAAGTTTACTGAAATTATATACTATTGAAATCCTTTACATCTACATAAATAAATTATGGGCCATATTGTGAGCCTCAGATTCCAATTCAAAATCAGGCAGCTTCCAATGTTAAACAAATGGGAATGTGCTTTTGCCGTGTGGAAATTCTATCCCATTTAGATAGATCTGAGGATGAGATCTGCAATATGCTGAAGTTTTGAGAAGCTTGTATGGGACCGTTTCTGTTTTGAAACAGTACAATAAGACTTAGCCACTCATCATTATATATTGATTCATTTTTAAAATAATAGAAACTAAATTTTAAAAAGTCTCAGAACTATAAATAAATGTTTGCAAAAGTAACATAATAAGACGATAGTATATCTCAGATGGTATTAAAGTTTTTAAGTCACAAGTTCGTTCAGATTTACTGCTGCTCAAACTTCGATGCAGTCGATATATACAAAAAATTATAATTTAATTTCGTTTCTGAAAAATGACAAAATTCCTACATATATATATTAACAAATGTGACTGAATATGACGCAAATCAAGTGAACAATAAATTTTATTGTAAAAATAAGTCAATAATACTTTTTCTGTCAGTAGTCTGCTAGGTTGAGAAAAATTTCTTTAGATTTTATAATACTGGATTCGCGAAAAAAGATAACGCCCCAAACGTACTTTAAGCGAGCCAAATTGAACTATTTTGGGCATTAATCACGAAGGAATATTCCAAGAATGAACCCGAAAATTGCCGAGGATTCTCTCACGTTATCAGAGGACTATAATGTCTTATAACGACTATAATGCATTAAAACATTATTGTTACACGTTAACTACATAATTCTGCCATTTTAGTTTACTCAGTATTTTCATTTTGCCAGTATCTCGGCTAGTATTTTTGCCACATGTCACTTTGCCAGTTTGATTAGTATGGCTACCAGCAATACCAATGAAACTGTAATCAGCCTAATGAGAGATACATATATTCAATGATTTTAAAATGTCAAAAGTAATCAAAAGGAGGCCATTCTTATATGAATTTCATAAAATGTAATGATGATACTATTGTACAAATTGGTCAAGCAAAATCTTGCATACAAATTTACTTTTCAAAACCTAGAATATTATACGACCTCCAACTTTGTTCACGAACAAAGTGAACAAGCAATTAATTGGATGCTGATAATGTTTATTTCAAATACTAAATAATTAGAATACATTCAAGCGTTATATATCTATGTCTCTCCTGGTGTTGGCTTTATCAAAGTTGGCATTCAGACAACTCCGATCACTTCTGAAAATAATAGAAAATGCCGGTTCTGACTTGAAACATAAATAAATCATTGTCCAAAATGCTAATTATACCTTCAAAGCAACTAGGCAGGCGGCATAACTTCCCATAACTTGTTAAGGACTGGTCGAATAAAATCCCTAGCTCTAATCAAGTCGGTTACAACGGTTCTCAACACTTCCACAACAGAAGGATTATTCACACGATCGATAATACTGTTTACGGAAGTTATCGTATTGTTCAGAAGAGTGTCCGACCGCTCAATGAGGTTAGTCAATTCTTGCAGAAATTGTTCCAATGATATTCCCAATATTGCCATAATTACTGCAAGGTAGAAATCAAGTTAGGTGAAAAGAACCAAGGAAGTAATTATACACGATAAATAAATTACTATCATTGGGATCCATTCTTCCAGGGAGCGTAATTGAAACAGTGGATGTCAGGGAGGGGAGGACGCGACCCAATTTATAGAGAAGCTCTCCAATCAGTGACACAGCCCCGGATAACGCATTATCAGAAATTTGCTGTAACTCTGTTCTAACATCCGCGTCCACATCTGGGAGAGTATCTTCCAAACGAGCCTTTCCATTATTGATGGTATTTGTGGTTTGGAGCAAGTTATAGTTTATAAGGTTAAAAAAGGCTCCCACCGTCAGTCCCAAAATGTACCAAATTAGATCAGCGAAATAGTCTAGGGGGGCAATTGCTTCCTTTGGTTCTCCCAAAGTTTCCAATTCAAATAAATTTTGTTGACTGTTAGTCATTGATGCTAAAACATTATAAAATGGTAACATTTCTTTCGGCAGATTTTTATTATTTAGTAATATATATTATTACAGAGCTGTTTAATCGCTTCCAGAGATAAGCGTGGTCTGGGACGGAAAGGGACGCCAGCAACGAAGTCATTCATCCCCACGCTTACTGCACAAAACAAGGCAAAAAACGTGTGATGCTGCATATTTGGCTCTGATATTTACTGATTTGTTCACAGTTCAAATTCCAAACGAAAACTGGTCAATGTAAACTATCAATTGGATTTTTTAATGCATTTGACAACTCTTAACAAACTGTTTTAATTCATAATTGATTGATATGTTTGTAAATAGATACGTATTTGAGGTAGCGATATTTGGGCACTTGAAATACCTGAAACTAAAAAATCTCAATCCCAATTCAAGCCCAAATGACGATGAGATAATTCAATCAGTCCATTATCAATTTCAAGTACAAGCTATTGAATTGTCGGCTTGTAATCATTACATCCACACTAATGTGGCATATTAGTTGAATCCATGTATAAATTACATCACCGACTAATAATTAAGATCAAACGTTCATTACCGTACGACGATGACCGTCACCTGTGTTTGGGAATTATCTGGTAGTGAATACTAAGTATTGGGATGCCTTTTGTATTTCCCTAAATGTACGTTTGCAGAGTTTTCTTATCAAGTAATTATTGCAAAACACGACTTGCCTATGTCAACGATAATTGCAATTCCAGTCATTGAACCTCCTCAGTAAAATCATGCATCAACCAGGGGATAAAAGAGTTATAACTTCCTACGTAATTACCAAAGTTGATGTGTCATAGCATAATATGGAGGTGACGGGATATATTGGGCTCGAGGTATTTTTTAGTTTACTTCGGAATTAGTTGAGCCACCTGTTAGTTTCTATTTTTCTGTGAAAGCCCATTTCAGTAGCTAAAAGTTACTATCAGCAACTTTATGATAAGGGTACTGCAGTTGATTCAATATTGTCTACGACGCTTTTCGTACTCAATTTACCCAGGAAAATATATCATTGTTTTTCTTGTCTTAATTTAAGTCAGGTGGGTCAAACTTATTCTATTGTTATGGTTTTTCTCTTGGGCAAAACGTTGGGCAACTCGACCACTACAAAAACGTAAAAAAGATACGTTGTTTTTTATCGCTTAGAGTAACTAAATTAAATTGTCAACCATCAAGATGAGAAAATCGATTTGGTTCGGAACTACTTTCATGCTCTGTTTTTTTATGGTTGGAAACAACTTGTGACCCCACAAACATTTTGTCTTCATTATCAAATGCGCAACGTTTAAAATTTCTATCTTTCCAAACGAAATTATACAGAAACTAGTCTTCTTGCCGACCTCTGAAATCTCATGCAGGGATCGTTACGAGCGTCACCATGTTTTCCTATCTGTCATTCTTTATCTATCTTGTTAAGTAATTCCAGTAATGAATCATGCAGATCAGTATAGATTTATGATTCCCCACCCGCCATTGTTCAAGAAAGAAGAGTAATATTGCATTATACTACTATAATACTCTTCTTTAGAGGAAATAATACCAAGCATGCTACTACAGATACCATGACCAATGGGAAAGATACTGAATCGGAGAGTGATTCCAACTTGTTGACCTGTTCTCAATCTTTGAATATAACAATGAGATCCTCGGAAACCGGGATATGCATCTTACAAGAAACGAATGCTAAAATTTTTTGATCTAACCCTTTTTTCTCCAATCGATACCTAAATCTGATTCTTCTAAAGTAAGGTTTACGTAGTATAATGTAATACAACAGAAACACATAAAACCTGAACATACGTATTGAGATAAGATCTAAAAATTATAGCGAATTTATGAAATTCGGAGAAGTCTTCCGGACGGTTCGTGACGTCTACAACCTGGAATTCAGTCAATTTGTGGCAAGATGACACACTTTCTGGTACCGTACATGCGGGACAACAGAAAGGTGTGACAGGCGAACCTGGAATATTTATCTAATTTCTTTTAATTGGGACTCAAGTCATTGATAGATGGCAGGGGTGGTTACCTAGACTTATCCCAAACAGCGCTAGAACCAGAAATAATTGCGCGATAAGTACAACCAGACTTATGCACTTCAAGGAATCCATTCCGGTAAGAAAGAGTAAGTAAGATGCCTCAATTACGCCTAAATCACAATCAATGTGAAAATAAATTACGTCTAACGATATTACTCATTGAGGCGATAAAAGTGCCAGACCCTTGCGCAATTACTGTAAGAATACAGAAATTGGTATGTAATTAGTAAAATGAATGACGTGATATTTTACATACATATTACACATTATCCTGTATTTCTATGAACAAATCGTAACCAGAGGAAAACAACCTATACATATTTATACCTATTTATGTGTGTAGATATATATTTTGTTGATGGTGTAGTAAGAGATAATAGATTTCCTTATAAGTTGTACGTAACATATATACGTAGATGTTTTATAATAATATTGCAATAATAAAACAAAAATTATTTCAGTTGTTTAATTAAAATGATAATCAGACCACTTTCATGAACTTTGTTGTAATTACATATATACACATAAATTTGTATCATGCACATCTGACTAGAATGAAATGCATAAATAAATAAAAAACACAAATTGGAACCGAATTTTTAAATAAATAAAATTGATGATGGTAGTGATGGGGTTGGTCCGGAGTGTATACCCCGACCTCATCGTAATATTTCCTGCAGAAAAAGCAGAAATGGATTCTCACAGAAAAAATATAAAATAATATTAGTTTACTTTCTCTCTCTCTTTCTCACTCTTACCTGCTCTACCTCTCTCACTCTTTCTACTTTCTCTATATATGTATCTCTCTCTCCAACTTTCTATCTCCTCATTCCTCTCACCTGACGTGTAATCCTTGGAGATGGGACAAAGTCAGCCGCATTGTCGCAGACGACCACCTCTACCCCGGTCACCCCATCCTGGACTGGAAGCCCCGCATGCTCCTCCCCTTCAACGATCTCGAGTTTCGCGAGGTGATGACACTCGAACAGTTTTTGATGTATCCAAATTGGCGGGTATGAATGAGAAGTATAAATTTTATGTTGTCCTGATGAGTAAAGTGTTTCACGATACTTCAAACCATCAAATTAAGAATGCACAGGTAGTGTAGGTACTCCCACTTGTAAGGAAAACATTTGCATATCTTGTTGATAGGCTTGAGAGGCAAGGTTCCGGGGCTGGTGATTGTTTGGGACCTCCACAGATATCAACAGACTTTTTAATTCCTCAGAAATTTAAACAGTTGTTAAGTAAAAATTAAGTATAATGTATGAAAAATTTTGTTAATGTTTTTTTACTACCGTTGTGGAGTCTGCAGCAAGTCAGTATAGGACCACTAAACCAGGCATCGTGGGGATCTATAGCCAGGTGCTTGTTTGCCAAACAATCCTTATATTATGACTCATTCTTGGAAAATGAGGCTACCCTAATTTTTGAAATATTCCAGTATTTATCTTGATTGCATCTTCTGGATAAACAGTCAGGTCGGACAATTGCTTGAGGAAACCAAGAGTGATTGACACCATAATTGATTGCTTCCCCAATGTTTATCCCTTCAGAATAGCCGGAATGAGATACATATGGCCAGGTGAAAATAAATGACCCTGGGGGTTGTCTAACTTTTGAAAATTAAGTCAAACGTATTTTTGACACATACATTTGGGAATTAAGAAGTATAAGTGTATGTTGAATTTACCCAATTATAGGGAACCCCGTTATTGGTTAGAATGCCATCTTGCATTATAAATTGCTTGTGAAGGCACGCCTTTGGACATCCCGTTTTTTTGAGAGATTGTCGACGAGAAATTATTCCGGATTAATTTATTTTGTAGAGCTAGGAATTTGGAAGTAAATGAAGAAGGGACAAGTCTCCAATTTTTGCAGGGTCCCTGATGAAGGTACTGAATGCTGTTAAAATTCAAAATTATTGTTGTGTCGTATACTTTGTTAATTTTGAAGCAGAATTATATATATATTTCACCCTCCCAAACACGAGACTTCTAAATGCTCACAGAATGTGGATAGGAAATTACCGGCGTATGTATACGGCTTAGGAGGAGGGGCCGGGGTATGGAGACTCGCAAATCAATCCGAAACCGCAACCAGGTTGAAGCCCATGATAAGTTAGCCCTGCCTGTTAATTATTAGGATTCGCTGGCCACCCGTTTCCGGAATATTGACCTCTGACCTCAAAATAGTTAATAAAATATTTTTTACTTCAACGCCCTACAGTAAATTTAATTTTACTTGACAATAGTTTAAATGTTAATATTAATATATGACTTTGAAAAAATAAGTTCCTGTATCCTTGTGGACGTGGTGACCACTCAGGTTTGGGTATCATCAAATTTCTTAAGTCTACGTGATTCGTAAAACCGTCTAGTGTTGACCACAAAAGAATGCTTAAGCTTATTCATGATTTTATTTAATTACAAACACCATGTCCATGATTGTGCGTCAAGGATTGGTATCAGAAGCCTTGAAGTATGTATTTAAGACTCGTCTCATAAAACTTTCATGTATACTGATTGCGTAACTCCAACTAAGTGAAAGGTTAGCTAATGATATACATGCTCTAGTCAATGACCGTAGAAAATTGGGTGGACATTTGTTATCATTGTACAGAGGATTTACTGTATGTTCTTGGGATAGATGAAAGGGACTTGTAGAGCAATGTTTATGTATTTCCCACATTTAACACACTACAACATGTGGCGACTTTTTTAACATGAATATGGAGAAGTTGAATTAAGTAAATCATAAAGTTAGTTAGCGTCAAATATATATGAACAGAGTAGTTTGAAAGAATAAAAAAATAGTCAACCACTCAAACATGAGGAAGTTAAATATTTTTTCAAACATGCTTAACATTCGTGTAAAGAGCGTTGGTTCATGGAAAACCAATTTTTACATACAAGTATTAATATGAGCATAGTTTGTCATACTATTAATGTTAAACCATTCAATGTCCGTGGAAGATTGGAGGGTTATTTGGGAAATTATACGAAGGTTATAACATATGCAGGAGGCGCAGATGAAAGATACTTTGGAGCGGATGCTGTCACTGGTATACTAACCAATCTTGCTGCCCTTAGGATATGTGTTAGTACCCTATGAGAGAACAAAAAGTGTCACGGGGTTTGATGCCATGGCCCCATTTGCGCCCACCACACCCCTTTG